GCAAATACGTGATGAATTTACATTTATCTTTATATACACTTATTAATTGACAAATAACACATATTATTCATTCATTGTTAAAAGATAAGAATATCAGTAATATTATAATATTTCATATTAGTATTCCGTGTTAAGACACTATTTAATCATGTTTATTATAATGTAATGATTAATTCATCACGTATATATACTATATCAAGCAGAAGAATTTATTTTTATTCTTCAGTATACATTTTTTTCACGCTCCGTTAAATCGAACCTCCTAGTTATTTCTCAATTGAGTCCGAAGACCTAGTGGAGCGTGTCACATCCAGCAGGCTGAATTCCATTAACACCAGTGCATTCAGTCTCGATTCCAGATTAAATAGAGTTTATTTTATAAGAAACGAGGCCATGTACACACGTTTAATCCACGTGGAGATAGTAGTTCGATCAATCGTTTATTTATGTTCAAAACTAGTTTTCGCCACGTTTAAGGTATTCAGTCAATAGATATTAAATTTCAATGGCAAAGTCCTGCAAATAAAAATTCTATTGTACATAAATACGAAATTCTCTTCGATCGGCGAATTTTGAAATTGTTATGCATTTCGAACAATGTTGCACGATAATTCAAGATATTTGTGCATTCAAGATATATTTGAATTGAGTTTCAAATGTATATGAATCGATAGCGTTATATTTATTCATTTTTGAAAATTGACACGATCGTTGAAAAATTGATGAAACCACGGTTTCTCGAACGACAGACAGTAAATTCAATGTTCGCGAACGTGAGCAAGGAAGTGACCGATAATGGTAACGGCGAAGACTGTCGAAAGGAATTGAGGAAGATAGTAAACGACTTTTCACCGAATCGTTGAAAAATGATCGTTTTTTACTGCTTTGGATAGATTCTACCTGGACAAGTATCATGGTGTGTAATAGATTTTCCACTTTGCTACTTTACTTCATTTCTTCGAGTAATTAATGAAAGAGGAGATTATAAATGATTGTTGAGCTATGTTGTTCGTCACTGATCGAAAAGATTCTGATCGATATTACCATAATTATTTTCAAATTTAATGAAAGAAAATATTTGGGAATTTAAGGGTGCCCGAAAAGCGACATTAAAGTATTAAACTTTATTTTCATTCGCTCTTCTTGGAAACTTTGAACCATCACGCGAGCAACGGTTACACGAAAGCTGAAAGTTGAGAAAGTTTCAAATTCTAAATTGACTGGCAGCCATATTAAACCTAGTTGTATACCGTTTTAATTGAAATCTGTTTTAATAAATTAAAATTACTAATAAGGGTTGCGTTTAGTGTCTCTCGTTAGCAATCCTTTCCATCGTACAAAGGGCATGAACGATCAAAATTGAGCGAATGCTAATCATTAATAAATTTGCTACTGTATCAATGTTAAATCATTGTGCGAATCTATCAAGATATAATTTCGCTTTAATTTTGATATAATTTCGATGTGATTTCGGTAAAGGTTCACGGGATAGTCATTTGAAGCCAATTTATCATTGACTCATTTCAGTAATAAGTTGGATTAAGACAATTGAATATTACGTACATAACTATTAAACGGAATAGATATCATTATTATCGTACATAATTATTAGTTCTCTATTAGTTAATCACTAGCTATTCGACTATCCAATAAAATGTTCATGTTCTGTAAAAGTATATTTTGAAATTAAAGTCTAAAAATTCTACGATTATTAGATAATATCACTTACATTTATTCTATCACTTACATTTATTCTATCATATCGTATCATCGTAAAATGTTATAAATTATTTTTAACGAGGTACCTTTGTATCGAAAGAATAAATGATTTAGAAAGTTATTAGAAGTGTACAATGAAAGTAATGAGTTCCTGTACCATAACATAATATTTCTGAAATTTATGAAATATGTAACGATTCGTGAATAAAACATGAGCAATAACTTTTTTATATCGATTTTGGCATTAAAGAAATATTTATTGAAAAATCGAATGAAAACCGGTGAAAATATAAATAGAAAAAAAAAAATAATGTATGTTATTCGTTTTCTTTTTTTATATTTTATCTTGAATTGTTTTTCATTATTATATTCATATTATTTTATAAGTTTGAAGTTAAAAATTTCAACATTTAAGAAAGAGAGTCCATTCCATATATATATATATTGAGATGTGAATACTGGTCGAAAAGCTAAGAATTATGGACAGACGCGTAGAAATTGACGCCATTGTACACGAAAACTCAATATATCTTTCGTTCAGTGACCTTTCAAGTTTTCTGGCTTGTGTATTTCTAAGAGATTTCAGATTAGTTCAAAGTTAGTCCTTCAAGAACAAACATCCGTTTCTCAAACTGTAAGGAGGATTTCACGATTTTAAAAAAGATTCTAAATTCTTTTATATCTATTCTATCTTTTATATCTCTACATTCTATATCTATACAACCGATTTCTCATAAATCTTCTTTTTAAACTTTCAAAAATTTAAACGACAGTAAAATCATTTAAAAATCACTTAAAACGTGTAAATTCATAATAGAAAATAATCAAAATTGAATGTTTAAATAGCAGCATAGAGTTAATATGCTATAATATGCAATTTGAAATATAAGTTTACTGATATAAATAATATTACGTGAAAATTGCTTCAAATTGATTTCATTTATTTGATATGCATAAAATATTCAAGTAAATAATGAAATGTATATATATAATGATTTCATTATATTTGTGTCGCTTCAAATATCTCGAAAAAAGATTTATACTTTCCTGAATCTATCTGAATGCTTCTTGCGTCCATCTTTATCCCTATTTCTTTCGAAGAATATCCTTCTATCTTTTTAGTTTGAAAATCTTTCGTATCGTGATACTTCTATTCGCCAGAATGCCATCCATGAATGGTCATGGATATATACACATATATATATGTTCGTATATATTTATATGAAACTCATCTTATATTTTATTTACACAAAATTCCTCGTGTTATACCAGAAAATAAATTCAATATATATCTTCATTTGTTTAATTGTACATAGATATAACATTTAATTTAAACATTTGAAGCGAAATGGCATTATAATAAGAAGGAAAGATTTATTCTTACAGGAATCGCATTATTTCATTTTTAATTGTCAGATTAAACAATTGGAATCTGGAAGAGCATCGAAGCGAATCCTTCAACGGAGATTGTTTAATTCTGAGGACCCTATTTCATTAAGGTCATCCTTTTTAGCATAGATTTAATTAATTCCTGTCAGTTCTTGGTTTAGACTGATGAAAAATTAAATTGCAACCATTCTTCTCTGGAAAATCTTCTTTATCGTTTCCATAATACATCTGTAAATTAATTGGATTTTTCCAATGAATATCACGCAAACGAACATTTGAACTCCTAAAGTAAAGTTCGAACTTTTTGTCAAGTATATTACTTTTGCAATATAATTAATTTCTTTTGCGATAATTATTTTTTAAATTAATCTATATATATATCATTTCAAGTTAATTTCTTTCGTGTACGAAAGCATCGTAAGATTCTTTTCTTCGCTTTTTTCATTTCCAAGATCACCTATTATCGTGAGAAACTCGCTGGCGTAAGCGTTACTTCCTTTATTGCCCGGCCACAAATTGAGTAGCACTACTAGCATCAAGTAGATTCATCCGTCCACGATCGGCCAGGAGCAGTTTAAGGCTAATCTATCGATCCTAGATGCTTTGATCTCTAACTTTTTTTTCACGTTACGAATAAATAATAAATTTAATAAAAATAATAAAAATTTTGCATTACAATAATTTAAATTCTAAAATTTATGTCGTGAATTTCAACAATTTTTGTCATCTTTCGTATAATCTTTCTTATTTTAAATATTTTCAATTAATTTTATTGTCCTTAGAATGCAAAATATTTAAGGTTCATCTTTAAATTTTATGATGATTTTTATGGTTCTTTGGAAATATCTTGTCGATGCTAAAGTTTCGTCACATAAACGTCAAAGTTTACTGTAATATATGTTCAATATATTAATAAATATTTAAGAGAAACTTTTTATCTACCCATAACTACATTCCGTTTTCGTTTCAGACTTGTATTTTCAATAATCATCAAAGTTTCGTTGTTCCAAGTCTTTGTTTTTAAATTAGATTCGTGTAATTAGAATCATTTTGAGTTCTTCAATTGCAAAATGCAGCAACTATTACAAAGTATATATGGATATAGTTTGTAACGAAACTCTTCATGTTTTTCATAAACTTGTAACATTGATTAATGACTTAAAAACAGACTATAGCGTAACTTAAATACTTTATCACAAAGAATGTTTAATTTTTTATATCTTTTCATTTATGATTTAATATTCGTAAATTCGATTCTACTTCAGGAAAGATTATTAAAAAATTATAACAATTTTTTAAATTATATAAACATATACGAAATTGCGTTATTTTTTCTCCTTCCATCGGTTGGTTTTTCTCGAAATTGAGAATATTAGTTTAATCTTATCTCATGCATCGATTCCATTTAAACATTTTTCACGGAATCAGTGTGTATTTTTGATTCATTTCTTAACGAGAATGCCAATTATTGGCTATTCTCGCTTTTGAGGAAACCACTGACGAACGAAGAGGCAAGAAATAAAGGATCGTATAATGTTAAAGTGGAAGGGAAGTCTTCATCTCTCATTTTTTATTTTTCTTGAAATCTTACCGGAAAATCATGTATTCTATCGCGACGACGTTCCTTCCTTTTTGTCTCCCTTTGAGTCTCATTTTTCTCGAAGAATGGTCTCTGAATTTTCCTGAAACTGAACTCATTGTTGCCGGGTTGACTTCGCGTAAAAGAGTAAAATTAGAAACGTTTGAAACATTTTCGAACATAGGAGAAACGATCAGAATTCGGGATAAAAATTATTCATAAATGATATATTCGATGATATATTTTAATATGAAAACGAGAGATATTTTATTTCACATTATCGTTGATTAAACAATAATTAGATAATTAATCGATAAGTCAAACGGGAAACTAATTTAACCACTCGACGAACAATTGAAAGCATATTCGTCGTTTATTCCAAACAAAAGAACGTAAACTCTTCGTAAAAATCGGTAGGAGATCCCGGATTCCTCGGTAACGAGGGCATAGAAGGAAAGATCAACAGAAATGCGATCAATAAAAGAGTTGGAGAACACATAAAGGAATTTGAAAAGCAATTTTCGTTCTATTTTACAGCAGAATATTACATCTTAAGTAGGACAAGGAAACGGAGCAAACAAAAATGCTTGCGACAATGTTAACATAGAGCATGCCCATCAATTACCAATATAATACTTTCACAATCGTGAACGTTATAGGAAAAAAAAGATGGAAATGAAGTAAAAAAGAAAGAATAGCTCCCTCGGGCTGTACTTAACTCAACCAAAGGAAGAGGAAGAGGAAAAGGAAAAAAAAACAAGACTTTTACGAAAAAAAGCGAACAATTACAATAGATTCGTAAAGCAATGGAGCCGGTAATTCGGAATGAGAGATTGTACGAGTTCCGTTATCGGGAAATTTGTTCATTTTTCCCGATTAAAGAAAAAAGAGAGAGGCTTCTCACAATGGCGATAAAAAGGAAAGCGGAAAGAAAAACAGGGGGCAGGTGAGAATCAGAAGGGGTTAAAGTAGCGAACAACGATGTTAGAACTATCCAGCAGACGTGGACGGTCTGTGTGCTCCGGCCGCGGAGGCTGCGCGGAAAAATCGATAGCCAACGCCAACCGACGGCGTCGTCGTCGACGGCGGCGGCGACGGTAACGGTAGCCTGTGGTGGCGGTGGTGGTAGTGGTAGTGGTAGTGGTGGTAGTGGTGGTGGTGGTGGTGGTTGCGAGTAGCGCGATAGAGTCCGATGGTGCAGTCAACGTTGGGACCGGTAGCCCAAAAGACACACGCGGATCTCACGCGTTCTCTTCACACCCCTCTCGTCGAGCACCCCCTTCTGACACCTCTTACATCTTCGAACGGTCGTACGGCCCTGAAAGAACGTGGCGTGATTCGAACTACATATTTTCTCTCTCTCTCTCTCTCTCTCTCTCTTTCTCTCTTTCTCTCTCCTTCTTAGGACACGCTCCAAGTTCGCAGGCAAGCGAACACGTAGGAGCCGTATACATCGGCCATGGTGCTCGTTTACCGGGCCGAGTGGTGGGTGTGTGATAAAAATATAATGCTGGTGACGCGCGTGACACGATACAACGCGATATGACAGTTCCTTTGGTTCTTTCGTCGTCGTACCCCTGCCGTGTATGGATTCGCGTGTGACCAGACGATAAACGGAATGTTGTGACGCGTGACACCGCCGCGCACCGGTCCGCACACGGCGTTTCAATGCTCAGGGACGTTGCCACTGTTCCTTCGCCTCCTCTTCTCTCGCGCACATCCCAGCATGGATGATAAATGCTCGAGTGAACGGTAAATGCCATCCCGGGACCCGAATTTATCGATTTTCGTACACACGCGTATTATTTGATCGGTATATGTGATTTATTCTACGTTCTACGGATAAATCGGTGTGCTCGTTTTCGGTGTAACGTTTTCGTTGTTCACCAGGATTTTCCATTTCCACACCGTGTCACGGGTTCTCGCGGAAATATGACGCTACCGCTACGCGCCTTTTTGAGGACAATGACCCCGTGCACCTTGCTTTCTTTCTAGTGTGTCAGACGTTCGTTGCTGATTTTAACGTTTTACTTTTTCACTTATCTCTTTTTTTTTTTCGTTCCATTTGTTCGAACAATGGAACATTTCCTCCTCAAGTTTATTTTCGAATATTTCGATTATACTCGGAACTCGAAACGAATAATTTTCATTTTGTCAACGTACACGTTATACGATTTCGCATTTAGTACGGTGCGTGTATGGAAAAATTATACGTGTATCTTCCTTATACGTGTAATTGTACCGTGACATTTAGAACAAGAACTTTATGTGATACTTTCAACAATGCCACACGGTATACGACACTAAAGTCATTAGTAACGTTTCAACTAGATCGAATGTGGTTTTTGCGGTACTTCAATTTCAGTGGGTACATGTATATAGCGTTATTTATAGTTTGCAATTTGTCGCGTTAAAACTAAATCTCTCTTTAAACATATACAATGATGCGTGTTTATAGACGTACCGTTGAAATAACACCACGTTCGTTTTGTTTTTTCTTTCGATTGTTTGCTTTGCATAATTGCTAGTGCAATCTATAAGCAGACAAGAAATACCGAGATAATTTTTTTATCCAACAATCTTTACCAGGTATTTCGTCTTTCTTTTCTTTTTTCTTTTTTTTTTTCACAACGTAATATCGTCGTATCTGAACGTAAAATTGATTATTTTTCTCCCGCAATTTTATTTCATCTTGTGAAATCTAACACGTATATGCCACCTACGTTTCCCTATTGTGATTTCCCTTCTCTCGTCGCACGAGCATATTAATCAGTGTTGTGGTTTACTACAATGCATTCCAACATGCATAACACTGAAATATTCTCCTTTATGTTCTCCCCTTCTTCCATCATTCTTTTACTCTGTGTCACTTCTCTGCCTCAAGAGCAATCCTCTACTCTTGTCGAGTCTACTCCAGCGTATCCCTGTGTACAGGCTAACGTAAGAATGAAAGGTTAAAAGCATTACGAGTCGTAAGTTCTATACAATTATTATTTTTCCACTCTTAGCTAATTGTACACCGGAAAATTGTTCGAAATCTAATTGTCGTTCAATTTTCACTGCACGTTTCTTCAAAACCATTCATCTCTATCTGTTCTTTTACGATTTACAAATCCGATCGTTGTCAATTATCGTCGCTAGATCGTTTCATTTTTACATTTATTCCACGTAACAGTGACGATCTTAAACAATTCCAGTATCCCCAAATTGTTCCCTTTGAGCGAGTTGTCGACATTCGGTATGCCGAGATACATGACACATCACTTTGATCAGTAAATTGATTCGATGAACCAGTAGTAATTAGCACGCGGATCTTAATTCACTCGGTGAATTGATCAACTTGGTCAACGAGTTCATTTCAAATATTTTCGTCATCTCCATTTTATATTCTTCGACGTTTGCAACTATTTTCCAGTTAATTCAATCGTCTTCATAATTCATCCGCTTCACTTCAAGTGGTTAATTTTAATAATATGATCGATACCGCAGATCTTCCCTCGTCATCTCGTTCCCTCGTAATTCCCTCTAACCTCCATTTTTTTTTTTTTTTCAAAATTATCTTCCTTGTACACTTGACGATGGTATTCTCTCTTTCTCTCTCTCTTTCTCTATCTCATATTTCGCGGATTAATCTTACCAGTAAGATGATTATAAAATTTTTCAATTATTTCATTGCTCGAGTATCTCCTCAAGAATTGTCGCTCGCGGTCGAACGAACTATATTACTCTCGAATTTATACCGTATCTTTCCCTTTGCCCTTTATCCCGGTGATTGGCCAAAATATTTCGAATAGTTTGCGGTTGTAGTTTCGCGGCATCGAGTTTCTGATATAGGTATCGCGATGCAAAACATATTTCATGATCGATGCATCCATATTTGGAGGAAAAATTCCGAGACGCTTCGATAAAATCAATTTCGGAACAATGTTCGACGTTACTCGTCGCCCGAACGAAATTCTGCTACATAAACTATTTTACAGTTGATGCGCATAACGTGTTATAGACGAAAACTCGCTCTTTTTTTTTTTTTTTTTGCATTTCGATTTTATTCGATTTATTTTATTTGGTGTTCTCTCTCGAATTTCTTAGCCAGGGAATATAAAGCTTATTTTGATCGATACCTCTCTTTCCCGGGATATCATCCCCGGGGGGTAAGTTGATCAAAGTATTCGAATAAGCGAGATTTAATTTTTGTTCCAACTTGGCAACTTAATTTGATGTTTTTCACTTTCCTCGAGCACACGCTTCTCCATCATAATACGATGGCAAACATTAAATTGATGGACGGTGTTGAAAGCATGATAAAATTTCCTATTTTTATTTCGACCTTCCCTTTTTAATATTCCTCCTGTTACGATGTACAAAAAAGAAAAAAAAAGAAAAAAACATCAGATATTCTCTAAGATAAGAAGCTTCGTAATTCTTCTCTAATCTATGTCCCCCGATATTTTTAAAAATAAAGTGTAAGACTCGAGGAAAAGACCATCGTTCTTTCTTTCTCTTCGTGTTCACGAAGTTTAACCGGAAACGAAGTGAAATAATAAACGAATTGAAAAATTGTGGCTGGGAAAACGTGACAACCAGGGATGGAAAATTTTTCGTCTATTTTCCAGCAGGTCGATACCTTGTTATCGGAAAGCACTAGTCATTCTGATAAAACTGTATGGCGGATATCGAGATAAATTACGAAACAGAGCCTCCATTCCGACCTATATGATTTTCACAAGAACGTATGGCGATAGTTTCCATTTTTGTTACAGCGGGAAAAGATACGACCTTAGTCGTAAAATCATCGTATCGTGAACGAAACTTTGCCGTTGTGAAAATGGATCATATCCGAAATTCATTCTTGCTCTCATCTTCAATCCTCTTATAAGCACAATATTTCTTTATCCATCTTCCATTAAAATCGTAGATCCCTTGTCAAAAATGTAATTACGAAGGTATCAGGTGTTCGTACACATATTTTTCTCATCGTACATATTTTCCTCTATCGTATATTTCGTGTCTCTCCGCTAATGCGTCCGTGTCATCGACGTGCTCGTCGCGTGTGTTGGGATAGGAAAATGTATAAATCTAGTGATTTACAGCGAAGGGTTGTTGAAAAGACGCGGAAGAAAAACGCGCGTGCTCGGCGACGCGGGAAAGCCTTGGCGGAAAATTCACTTTCATTTTTCTTCTTTTTTCATATATTCTCGTTCATATATTCGCTCTCTTTCTCTCTTTCTTCTCCTCTTGTATATCCCGTGAAATGTTAGACTCAAACAACTAGACTAATGACCGAGCTTTGAAAATCTCGCGATATTTCTCTCTATCGTAAAGTTACTTCTCTCTTTCTCTCTCTCTCTGTCTCTTTCTCTTTGCTTATATCTCGTTTCTCCGAAACATTTTAAGTATGTCTTATTCGGTTTAAAAGGATCCTTTCATTTCGAGAGAGAATTGTGTACTCTTTTCTCACGAATTTATAACTTTTTGCTTATCTCGTTGTTTAAAAAAAAAAATAGGTGCAGCTCTGCTCGACGAAGGTACGCAAGTAAATCGCATGCTTGTAAAATTTGGAGGATTATCGATCGAACATATTTGTACCAAAAGGATAATCAATGCTAAGCGGACTAGTGAAATTTAAAATGAAATTGGAAAAACAAGAACAGAGTTAAGTCCGTGTAGCACAAGCGTTGGTGATCCCCTGCCAACGAGTGAGATTCTCCCGCAGAGCAATAAAGTGCAGCTTTTTATTTTCCACTTTTTAGGACGAGCATTCAAAGTGGAAAAAGATTGTGTCGGACTAATCCGCGATTTCTGTATGGCGGTAAAAAAAAAAAAAGAGCAACAATGAAAATCCGTGGAACTATGTGTGTTCGATGAGAGATCTAGCTGAGAAATCTCCACATTGAATCGTGTTTTTTCTTTTTTTTTTTTTTTTTGGTTAACACGCATCAGTTTTTATTTCTATGTTGTGTACACGCTGTTGCGTGTCATCATTGCGAAGTGAAATTTTGCGATCAAGAGATTTGGAGATACGTCGAGAGTGTTGCTTGCCGCGATCGAGATCGGTTGGCATTAATCCGATAATTATTCGGAATGGACGTTGCTTCGCCGTGGAAAAGGAGGATGGAGAAGAGATCATCCTCGACATTTTCGAGGACGACGGAAAGAGGTGATCGTTCTTTCAATTTTTGTGATCATCGGCTCAACGCAACGCTCGACAATGAATACTTGGAATTCGAAGAGGTGTCGTTTCATTGTGATGAAGTGAAGAACAACGTTTTCGAATATAATCGTCGATCGAGTTGCTTTGACAAGAATCCGTATAAATATTTGTATGAATGAACAGACTGAGTGTTCGAAATATGCATCGTGAAAAAGGATAAAATTCTCAATGAAATTCTTCCATATCCGGATCTTTAATCGAAGAAGATTATACTATATGGAAGATAGAAGAATGAAAAATATTCGAAGAATCGTTATGTTTGAAAGACATTATATTTACTCTTAACGAAATTCAAAGAAGATTCCAAAATTTTGGAAAAAAACCATGGACAATAAGCATGGAATTGGCGAAAAGAACACGAAGCGTGTGAGGTAAGTTATAGAGGAACGTTATTAAAATTATAAAGTTTTAGATACTAGTTTTGTAAATGTGCTTTAAAACTCTCCAAAGAGAGGATAATTAATTTCTCTTGCGGTGTACTATGGCTATAAAAGTTGCAATTACAAATACAGCGATTACAAATTGAAATCCTGTTTTTTTTTGTTTGCATTGTTTTTATCTCCGGTAAGAAGAACGACAGCAACTATGATCACGCATCAAACAACGTTATTCGTCCGAAAATTCTTCTCTGTCCATGAAGAGAACTCAAAGACGCGATAAATTATCAAGTTAGATAATTTTCTCGACAACAACGATAAAAAAATGGGTGGGGAAGAGGGAAGTTGGTTTGACTCGAGGCAAATTTTCTTTAGGTAGAAAAAAAAAGAGAGAGAGAAGAAAAAAAAAGAAAAAGAAAAAAAGAACGACGAACCGCCTTGACCTCGTTCTACTTTTTTTATAACACGTTGCACACGTTGCACAGCTTCTTTGCTAGACGTAGGCACCTCGGAAAGACGAATACACCCCACCTTCGTTTCTTCTTCGCTCGTTCTTTGCCAAAAGCCTTGTCGACCTCTCGAGGGCGACGACCCGGTTATCTATTAACCAGCGGATTTATTCCCCTTTCCATGCTTTCGTTTTACTCCAGAATGCTAAATGGAAGATTGTAAAAAATTTTTACTCTTCCGCGGTATGAATGAATACGAGCTCCTTGCTTCTCTTTCATGTAAAAAGGCTGCATTGTATATGGATATTTCAACTAGTAAATACGGTAAAATACGTCGATTATTCGAATTAATCAGGAGGGAAATCCATTTCGGATAAACGGTTTTTGATAATCGATTAGAAAAAATTTATATATGTATACGACATAACTAGAAAGAAAGAATTTTCGAATGTTATTACATAAAGAAAGATTGTATAGATGAAGGAAATACATCGTAAAAAAAATATATTAATCGTTTTTGTCACACAAAATGTAGAAATTCGCATTTGCATAATTGAAATTCGGATGATCATTCTAATGTAAATCTACTTACTACGATCTATATCAAAAGTAACATTAATTACAACGAACAACGTATTTTGGATAAAGCAGAGGAGAAGGAAAAAAGTAATCCTCATATTTATCGTTTTTATCTTTTATAATCGTTTGTCATTCCGCTCTATTTGATCCGAAATGTCGGATTTGGAACAGCCTTATTGGGAGGAATTTATCGTGTCCTGTTTTTTGTTACGGTTCTGCGTTTATTTTTCGCAATATATATATATATATACAGTTCCTTTGTTAAGCTGTTGGACAACGGTTAATAAACTTAACGATCCTGCACGATTGTAATTATAAGGACAATTTAATCATCGATAAAACGTAAAGAAGAACAAAAGCATCGCGCTAATTTTTGCTCAAAAGCTTTATCTCATCGTGTTTTATTTCCTCAAATCGTTTGCGTTTGGTAAATTTTGCATTTTCTTCTATTTTTCACGATCGAATTTGCACGAAGCATCGTTTTTATAACGTGAAGTTTTACAATAAACATTGCACAGCCGAAAAACAAATATTTATCACTGTAGCTTTATTTATCCTTCATTTGGTGGACCTGTTTCGGTTGTTGTACACTCACATCTGGTGTTACATAATTCGCGTGGTTAAATCTGCTGGTTAATTAATCTAAGAAGAGAGTTAAAGATAAATCGAAATCTGATTTTTTAGATTTTTGTAAAATTCGAATCCAAAACTTGGTGACAAAATTATCCAAATCCAAAATGTCTTTTCTCTTTCTTCTCGTTGATATCTGAAATTCTGGTGAAATAATAAAGTCGTTTCAAGTATTTTGAAAAAAAAATCTTTAAAAAGTAAATTATCTTAGCGTAGTGGATATTAATTTTTTAATATTTCATTCAATGTTATGATATATATTATGTGAGTTTCTATTACGAATGATCTGTGGATGGAAAAGCTATTTGTACATACCAATAAATTCTACTAATGTATCACGATAATTAAGAGGAAATGTAGATACTATTAAATAACCTTTAACTGGTAGATTCGCACAATGATAGTTAGTATAATCATAATTGTATCTATACCTCGAACATCTGATCCAAATAATCGAAGGATTATTCGTATTTGTACATACGATTATAATGCTAATAGTGTATGTTAATTAAAATCAATATTCAATGATGTTAAATTTTATGCAAATTCAAAGTTGGTCATTGAAAGTTAATGAAAGAAATCTGATTGATATATGAATGGTATTATCATTTTATTAATATTCATCTTGCTGAATCGCATGCTCTATTTCGATGCATCATTAAATCTGTTTAACTGTTCTCGTTTTCGTATTTTTTTTTTTTTTTTAGCATTATTCTTATTATTTCGATTAAAATAACGTTATATATAATTGAAGTTTGAGTTTAAATTATAACAGAAAGAGATACGGAATTCCGTTTATTATTATTTGAAACGCAAATTTCATGTAATTTTCAGTACCTTGTTTCCCGTGTATAGTAATAGTAGTAATATTTCATATATTATACCGTACAATTTCTATGTAACGATTCTTTTCTCTGAACCATAATTAAATTTACAATTAATAATAATTAAACTTGATATAACAGTCTTTACATTGTGCATGTTTTAAAATAAAAAGATTTTGAAAAATTAAGCAATATCTTACGAAAGATATCGATATTTCATAAAAAATCTATACATTAAAATTTACTTTACAAAAATTAAAATTTAAGATTTATACCAGATGTCAAAAAATTAGAATAAAGAAAATGCAAAAGATCTTAAATACATTTGAGAGAGAAAGAGAGAGAAACAGATTAATCAGGAAACGCATTAACATGATAACGAATGCAACTATGTTAGTAGTAGATAATATTATAATTTCAACGCCATCTCGTTACATGCGGTACATATTACATTAAACAAGAGAAGCTTTTACCAGTCTAATCCAAAACCGTCACCGAAGAGATTATCGTCAACTACCTGCACCGTCGCGTCTGCTCGTTATAATCGTTTATTCAAGGTATAGCTTGAACTTTGAACAAATTTATGAAACAACCCCGAAAGCAAAGTAGAAGTACATTTTTTATGTAGAATTATTCATATAAATATAAACATACGATCTACATATGATCAGACATGCACATATGCATATAAGTATGCCGTATATATATGCATATTTTAGAGAAATCCTATTTTCCTATCCGTAGTTTTAGTTAATTAGCTCTGGGTGCAATGACCAGACTAGTGTCAACCGAGAACTGCAAGGGTATTTTTGCGCCGCCAATCAGGTTAATAACGTTTCCCTCGACTATTGGCAAGAATCGTGTGTGCACAAACGTATCTGGCTCACGCGTGTACACGTACACATCTACGGCCAATCTCATTAAAGGAGCCAATTGTTTCCAACTCATATTCAAAGTTGCATTCGTAGAGGCATACCATACCTTTCCGTTTTGCACGTCAATTCCTTCCCGCTTGCCTTTACGAAAATGAATGGGAGGACGTCAACGACGTTGGGAAAACAAAATTATCGTCGTCGGACGATGGTTTCCACGGCGAATAGAAAACCGGTTTTTAAACCCCTCTTTCAATTCCATGGGTTATCCCATTCCCTCTCGTCTCATTCTCGTCTTCTTTGAAAAATTCTAAAGTCAGTATTATTGTGGAGCGAGTTTACAATGAACAGTTACAATGTACGGGGAAGGAAATACTTCTTTCTATAGATGGATATTTCCTGTTTCGTTGCGATACAATTAAAAAAAGAAAAAGAGATTCGAAGAAAAATTAATACGCTATCTTTAAATAGTGTATCAAATGTGCTTCTTTATTTTTCCACTTTTTTCAGCGAGAAAATTGAGAAAATTTAATCAATTTGCTCTGTCAGAGATTGTACTTTTCAGAAGCGAATATCTGAAATATTTTACGATTCAACTATCGTAAATTATCTCTTTTTTGATAGCGCTTTATTGAGATACAGGGTCAAAATGCATTTCATCAAAGAGATGAATGAAAATCGTCAACTTTGTGGCGAAAATATCCATCATTTATAATATCACGATATTTCAATCGATTTCAATGTATTCTCTGACTATCTTTTCGATTCTTTTTTAAACATTGAAATTTCATCATGACTTATAACGATCGTATTAGAACATCATCATCTCGATTCGATAAATCATTCGATCAATAGATTTGTAAATAACACGTAGAACAGATAGAAATAACATCAAATGTTGTGACGTTAATTTATATTACTCGAACATTTTATTGTAACAAATTCTAAACGATCCTAATTCAATACTCGAGAGTTGTAAATCAAGATACGAGTAATTCTATGAATAATATTAGGAATGTTAAACGTTAACAGTTTCGGTTACTATTCTATCATTATTCCCGTAAACGTTTGAATAGATGAATCCCCCTCTTTAACAAGTATTCCTTACAAGTCCAGACATAACCAATTTCAATTATACCGGGTAATCTTCACTGCCTCAGGTTACCGCGAACAGTGCAAACTTGCGAGACAAAGCTCGCATCATGGAATCGTCATACTTACGATGCATGTTTCCGTATAGAATTATACGTGTATAGTAGAACTAGAATTGCGAAACTTCACTTCTCTCTCCCTTCTCGCTCGTTTAAAATGAATTGAATATATTCGCTTTTGTCCACGATCTTTCTTCGATCCAGTTTTTTCCCCCTCCCCGAATGGAACTCGATGTTTGAAATCCATTTTAATATTAACCTTTCGTGTTGTTCCTTTTTTTTTTTTTTTCTTTTTGCACTCGAAACTTCGTTGGAAACGAACGTTCTTTGGAAACATTAAATCACATTCGCGTTTTTCTATAATTGCGTAAAATCTTTGTGCTCGTAATGCATTTTAACAGACTACCGCCGTTTCTTCGCCGTTAATTTCGTAATTTCACATTTATTTCGCGCTCCCATTAAATCCTCCGACAGGTAACGAGGTCGCGC